GCGTCTCTCAGATCTGATCTCCAAATCTGCCCGTCACCAAAGTGGGCATGGGGGGTGGGGTTGGGCTGGGGGCTACTATGACCTTGGGGCCAGGGCACTTTTTCTTGGCTGAGACTTAAGGAGTGGGGGCAAGTCAGAGGCGGGCACCAGCCTGATCCATGGTGCTCTGAGCAGCTGGCAGGGATCGTTGGTGTCACGTGGGGTGTGGCAGCCCCGAGCTTGAGGGATGTGGGGCGGTGCAGCCCGTGAGCTCTGAGCTGGAGTCTGAGGGCCAGTCATCCAAGAAGCGCCCACCGCTTGGCCAGGCAGCCAAGGCGGCCCCTGCTTGCTGGCTGGCTTGCCGAGGCCATCATGTGGGTGGGCAGGGCCCGCATGGGGCTGCCACAGAGGCTCAGGAAGGCCCAGCCCTTCCTGTCCCTCTCCTCCAGGGTCCCTGGATTCCAGCAATCTCTCTCTTCCAGGCTGACCACCCTCTGCCTGTGGCCTTGCCTCTTGCTAAGTGTCTCTGGTCTCGGGGTCATCATCCGTGAGATGGTGGTGGTCAGGGTCTCCGTGGGGACTCTGAGCGGGGCTCAAGGTTCGAGAACATCCAGCACAGGCATCACTGTCGGAGCCAGGTGGGCTGGGCCCGAGCAGAGGGGCATCGCGGGACTCGGGACCCAGACCACAGCAGTGTGACAGCTGTCACCTGACCCGACTGGCCAACTCTGGGCCAACAGTGGGTGGCCGCATTTCCGGCGATGTGTTGGCTCTCGTCTGAGGTGACTGAGCTTGTCGACATGGATGAGTCATGGCTTCATGCAGGGGTGGGCACAGGCCAATGGAGGCGGGAGGGGTAGCCTCACGTCCTGGAAGCAGCAGTCAGAGCTGGCCACGCCGGGCCCAGGCCCCCTGCCAATGTCATGGCTGAGTCTCAGCACCGGTCACCAAGCGCTCACCCGCTGGGCGCTGTTCCTATCCTACAGATGAGGAAAGCGAGGTTCAGAGCAGTCCGTCCTGGTCATCCAGCCTGGAAGCATCAGGGCTCTGGGCCCTTCTGGGCTGCGGTGTGGTCTGGGGCTACCGCCTGAGTACTGGCCACTCTTCTGGCAGTGGTCCCCTGGAAAAAGCTAAAGACACACAAATGGGGCACTCACACCTCCTCCCAGGCTCCCCAAACCCAGGAAAGAGGATGTTTCCTCATCTTTACAGAGGAAACAGAGATCAGGACCTGGAGGATGTTTTCCCGGTGAAATTCCTCAAGGGCCCTGCAGGCCTCAGCCCCGAGTGTGTGTAGCCACCTCCACACCCACTTGTTAGAGGGGTCTGTGTGGAGTGAGCGTGTGGCTAGGGGCAGGCCTGGTGAATTCCCGGGCCCCCCCTCCTTCATCCCCCTGTCACTGACACATCCTACAAAAGAGACTGAGGCCAGAGAAGGCACGTGCCATGCCCAGGCCCCTGTGGTCAATGACAGTGGCGGCCTGGCAGCCAGGCTTCTCCGGGTCGTGCAGGGGTGCTCCTGGGTCCTGCCACGGGCCCTGAGTCTGCTAAGCAGGTTCCCATAGGAGCGTCACCCCCAGGCCCACATGACCAGCCCCTCCTGGAGTCAGCATCCTCTCATCCTTGGCACAGAGCTCGGGGGCCAGTGGGGGCTCTGGCCCAGCAGCCAGGAAGGGAGTGGGGGGGCAGGGAGGAGCTGAGATGGTCCGGGGTGTTCTGGGCAGCTGTGTGCCTCCAGCCCTCATGCTGTGGCCGCCCCACTCAGTGCCCTGGGCCCTGGGCATCTCAAGCCTTGGTGTGTGTTCCTCACCTCAGGGCTGCCTGCGTTTACCAGCAGACATGGGAAAGAGGGTGCGGCCTCGTGCTCTGGGAGAACCCGCTGGGCGGAGGCGCGTTACTTAAGAAGGGCGTACTTCTTAAACCTCACATCACAACCAATCATGCTCAGAATGACAGAGGGACACGGGAGGGAGCTGCCCCAGGGAGATGTGTCACCTGGAGGTGGGCCTCGGTCTCCCAGCAGCCCCAGGCAGCCCCCCTCAGCCCGGTTTCCGTGGTTCTACCAGCTAGATTGCTGGATTTTTCCTGCCGTGAGGAGCTCCCTAGGCCGAGGGACACTGGCTGCAGCCGCCCTGTTGTCCCTGGGGAGTGGCCTGGCCTGTCTGGCTCAGGGCCCTGATCCAGCTTCAGTGCCCCCACTTGCTCCAACGCAGGCATCAGAGAGCCAGCGGGAGCCGGCCTCACGTGGCAGAGGCAATGGGGGATTACAGCAGGCACAGTGACAGCGTCAGAGCGACGCGGAAAAGCAAGGGGCTTGTTGAAACACTGAAACTGGTTCCAAAGGAGATCAGCGCCTAGGAGGAGAGCTGGGCGCTGAGCAGCGAACAGCGTTTACGTCCTGACAGGGCGGCGGTGACGCCCCGGGTGCCACCCCCAGCCCACCCCCACCTTTGGAGGGCAAATGGCACCCGAAACACTGGAGCTGGGGAGGGTGAGAGCAGGGGGCAGAGCGCCCCCCTACCCCCACCCCCAGGGCACACGAAGGAGGCCTGGCCAGCCCAGGCTTGCGTCCAGAGGGCGCCTGGGGCAGGCAGGTGTCCATGTTCCATCCTCCTGCCCCCCCCCCCCCGGGTCAGGGCCGGACAGCTGAGCACTGCTTCCTTACCTCCGGGTCAGATTGCTCGTTTTTAAAAATCCATTAATGCAAGGAATGGCACATCGCGGCAGAGGCCGTCTGATTGGACCAGCTCCCTCCCACCCCCGGCCTGAGCCCGGAGCCTCCCAGCTTTTCTCGCTGGTTGCTTTTCTCATCGGTGCATCCGTCCCTTCCTCCTGTCTCCAGTGGAATCTCCCTGACCTTGGCTGCCTCTGAGCACAGCCCCCCTGGCTAAGAGTGTGCTTTGGGGTCCTTGACCTCAAGCACGTTGTTTACCCTCTCTGAGGCTGAGGACGGTCACAGACCCGACCCCCAAGGCTGGTGGGAGTGAAATGAAACAAAGCAGGTGAAGGGTGGGGTGTGGACACACCTCCCAACTGCTGTTAATTACTAGTACTTGGTAATTATTATTTCTGAAATCAGCTGGATCGGTTTTGTCAGATGCGAGAGGAAGGCTGGCCTTCCAGCCCAGTTCTGAGCTGGAGAAAGAGAATGTCTTCTGAATCCTGTTAGAAACAAACACGCGCACACAGCACTCTGCTGTTTGCTAAGAGCCGCACAGGCCTTCGCTCCTGGGCGCTCCGAGCCACTGCGGATCCACCGCATCCGGGGAGGGAGGGAGGCCGGAGGTTTGCTGAGCTGCCCGAGGTCACAGTCAGGGCTGACGCTCCGTCCCAGGGCTCCGGACCCCAGTCCTGGGCCCTGGCTCCCAGGCCTCACCGCCTCCCACTCCCCAGACCCAGTGGTGGACTGGGCAGAAAGCCCCGCCCCATAGAGAACAGCGGTTTTGGAGTCAGTTCCATGACTGTGGCGTTCCCCATAACCCAGTGGTTTCTGCACTTGGCTCTCGTTGGCCTGGGCCTGTGAGTTGGGGTGAAGGTGCCCCTCTGTGCACAGTTGGGGGGTCCCCGGGCCTTTTGTTACATCTTTCTTTCTTCTGCCCAGTTTGGCTTTGCAGGACGGCCTGGCCGCTGTGAGGCAGAGAGCACCTCCCGCCAGGGCCTGGGAGGGCTGGAACTCTCTCCAGACTTTATCTTCATGCAAAGACACAGTCGTTCCTTCCTAAGGAGCAGAGTTCAGAGCAAAACCAGAGCCCGGCATGGCCTGCTCAGGGCTGGCCCGTGCAGATATTTGAGGACTTAAAGTCGGGGGCCAGCTGGTGACATCAACGTGTTCCTATGGTTGGCTTCTTGGTTTCTCCAAAGAGAGGAGGAACAGAAGGAGGAAGAAGGTAGGAAGGAAGGAAGTCAAGTGCCTGGGGGGTAGGGGCCCAAGTTCAGAGTAGAGAGGGTGATCAGGGAGAACTTCCTGGAGGTGGCAGCACGAGTCCACTCTGCACAGAGGACGGCAGTGAGCTGGGGTGCAGTGAGACTGACACACAAGGCTCGCAGGGCTTATGCAAAGGCCATGTGGTGGGTGTGGGAGAAACGGGTCTGTGCAAAGGCCTTGTGGTGGGTGTGGGAGAATCAGTGCAATAGGCCGACTGCCCTGGGAGTGTTGAAATTCAGGCTGGGTCCGCTCTAGGCTGGAGGACGTCGTTGGTTTGGAGACAGAAAAGCAGGCCTGTCACTCACACCCCTTTCCACAAACTCTGTACCCCCAGCGGCGTGCCCTGCAGTCTACCCCTCAGCAAGGTATCGTGAAGTCTGCTCCCCAGAGACGCACCCACAGCCTGCCCCCCCAGCAGCACACGCAGTGCTGTCTGCCCCCGCCCCCCAGCAGAGCACCCACTCTTTCTGCAGCAGCCGCTGTGCCAGCTGGAGCCTGTGGAGAAATGGAGGAGACAGAGTGGGAACAGCAGGCCACGGAGAGAGTGTCTAAACACAGGGCTATTTGGGGCTCGTCTTTTGTTCTTAGTTTGGAACTGGTCCGCCCTCCAGCATTGGAGGAACGGCTCCCTGGGCCAGGCCCACAACAGCGAGGTCTCATTACTCACTGGTCACCCCAGAAATGACCTCGGGGCCTCAGTCTGCCCATCCGTGGATGGGGTGGCACAGGGCTTATCCGTCAGCAGTGCGGAGACAGGACCAGACAGCCCGCCTGGTGGTCAGCCCGGTGCCTGGCTGAGGGCATCTGAAAGGCCTTTTGGCTACAGGGAGAAGCCGCTTTCCGGACAGCTCTTCTGAGACAATTCAGAGGGAACGCGGTCAGCCAGTCTGCTCCAATTCCCACTGATGATGTCCATGTGTCATTAGTGCCAATTACGAGAGCAGGGAGGCAAAGCGTTTGCCCGGGGCAGGGGCTGGTGGGAGGGTCAGCGGGACAATTGAATTCCCCACCAGACAAATATGATTACCGGGGTGGCCTGGACCCACCCCCTGGAGGGCCCGGACATAAATGGCCAGGTGGGGCGGCCAGTCTCACCCAGCCATGCAGGTCCCCAGCCCCAGCGTGCGCGAGGCGGCCTCCATGTACGGCACAGCGGTGGCCGTCTTCCTGGTCATCCTGGTGGCCGCCCTGCAGGGCTCAGCACCCCCCGAGAGCCCCTTCCCCTACCACATCCCCCTGGACCCCGAGGGCACCCTGGAGCTCTCCTGGAACGTCAGCTACGTGCAGGAGACCGTCCACTTCCAGCTCCTGGTGCGGGACCTCAAGGCCGGGGTCCTGTTTGGGATGTCTGACCGTGGTGAGCTGGAGAACGCTGACCTGGTCGTGCTCTGGACCGACGGAGACAGCGCCTATTTTGGGGTAAGTCTTTCCCCCGCCCCAGCGCTCCTGACCTGGCCCTGCCCCAGCCCCCCGCTGGCTTCATCCTACACTGACCCTCCTTCACCCAGCAAAGAAGTCTTTCTCTCTCCTCTCTGCGTTTACTCTGATCTTAGCTTGTGTCCCAAGCTCAGACGTCTCAGGGACGCCAATTTGAGGGTAAAATGGGAAATAGATGCCTTCCATGGTCCTCGACTGCACGCCCCAGAACCCAGTGTGCCCAGAGTGTAACCACATCAGAAGGACAGACACACCACGTAGACACACGCTGCTCCACCCGCCCCACCCCCGTGAGGGCAGACCCCACGTCCCCAACTCGCACAGACAGTGCACCCACACCCTCCACGTGAGCCTACTGGTTGCACGTGCCCAAGCCCAGCATCTGGTGTGCACACCCACGAGCACCTGGCGTGCACACCCACTGCCCAGGACGCACAGACCTAGTGCTTGCACACACGGGGATTGAGCAGGTGCCGACCACCCCCCTCCCCAAACCGCGGTGGGGAGAACAAACCCACAGAGCTAAGCGCGACACTGAAGGCGTGCTCTTGACTCCTGCCTTCAGCGTGTACCCCTGTTCTTGCCGTAAAGGGCGGAGAAAGCGGGAAGTTTCCCTTCCAACTACAGAGGCTTTGGGGCCCTCGACACGCTGAAGGGAGGTTCCCGGGGGGAGCCCAGCTGCCCCGCCCTCCCGCCCCCTCCCCAGATGGGCCTGGCCACCAGGGCCTCTCTGGGGACAAAACTCAACTCTTTCCACGAAAACAGACGCAGGAGGTTAAAACAGTTGTCTTCAGTCAGGAGGTGCTTTCCTGATCTGTGCGTGGAGGGGCTTTTACTCCGGTTAAGTGGGGAGCGCGGCAGGAGTTCCGAGCCAGAAGTCAGGAGAGGAGAGTCTGACTGGTGCAGCCAGCTCCCCGCTCCCGGCCTCGGCGTCCTCATCTGAGGAGTGGGGAGAATGATCCCGCTCCCCCTTTTCGGGTTGTGTGAGTTCACATGAGCTGCTGATGGCTGATATTTCTGGATCCTGACTGTCCTCCATCCAATCCCCCCACAGCTCTGAGGGCAGGCGCTGTGCCCATTTCACAGGGGAGGCTGGAGGCTGCAGGCTGGAGCCATTTGCGGGGCCACCCCGTAGGACGTGTGGAGCCTCCTGGTTGGGGCCCAGCTCTGGCCCCTGGGCTGCCTGCCTCCTGCACACAAGGACGGTCAGTGGCTCAGGGGGTCACGGCCGAGAAGGACCTGGGGCAGCCCCGGTGGTGAGCCGTTCCGGGGGAGCAGCTGAGCCCCTGAATCAGGGGGATTAGCTCACCCTCCCGCGGGCTGCGAGATTAATTTGCACAACAAATTCCTGTGCAAACAAATGTCAGATTTCTTTTTCCCCCTTTAGCAATATGTTCAACAAATACATTCTAGATTTCCAGCTGAAGGATCACAAGCTAACTTTCTGCTGCTGTTTAAAATTAGTCCCTCTGCAGATCACAGTGTCCCCCAGCAGGAGCTCAGTGTTGTGTTTTTCTCTAGGGAAAACTTTGCAAAATCTTTTGCAGGTTTCCTTTTTCTCAAGAAAATTAAGAAAACATGCTTTAGCCCTGCGTGCAGGGTTAAAAAAATTCTAAGGCCAGGGATGCGTGGTGCTCCCGAGTGGGACCTCAGGCCTGCCTGCGGGGGCCCTTCCCTCCCAGCCGCCTCCCCGGGTGGACTCCTTTCCCTGCACTAGCCTGGAGCCCCCAGGTCACTGAGCCTCAGAGCCAGCGGGGGAAAGCAGCTGGGGTAGGGGAGGGCAGGGATCGGGCCACATCTGCCACCCACTAACATCCTGGGAAAATGCAGCAGGTCCGTCTCCTCCCGGGCCTCAGTTTACCCTCTCCAAGCAAAGCTGGGACGAGGAGGAGGCAAGCAGAATGCCCGGTGTTCAAGGCAGTGCTCACTCTCGGGGATGTGCAAGTGCAGGGCGGGCACTGGGTTTCTCGCTCACCTACCCCACTGCAGCCCTGTCTCCGTGTCTCCCCTCTCCAAGGCTCCGTGGGCTGTCACGACCCCTCCCTCCACAGACCAATGGGAACAGTATTTGTAAAGGCCCCCGTTGCCAATCGCGGCAGCTTCTTAGCAATACAGACCCCTGGGTCGCACTCAGAGGTCTGGGAATCTGCACGGCCAGTCAGTACCCGTGAGTCCTGGTGGGCACTGGCGAGCCCTGGTTCAAGGCTGCAGAGGAAGCGAGTGGACTTATACTGTCTCCAGGCAGACACGGAAATGGGGAGTGAACCCCCAGCCCTGGGCAGAACCCCTGGGATCCACAGGGAGGGAGGCCCAGCAGCCCCCAGCTCCCCCAGGTGTGTCCCATGAGCCCACTGTGGGATGCCAACCTTGACCTCTGGCCATCCGGCTTGGCCCTTGTGCTCAGAGCCCACACGTGTCTCTGCAGGATGCCTGGAGTGACCAGAAGGGGCAGATCCACCTGGATTCCCAGCAGGATTACCAGCTGCTGCGGGCACAGAGGACCCCGGAAGGCCTATCCCTCCTCTTCAAGAGGCCCTTCAGCACCTGTGACCCCAAGGATTACCTCATCGAGGTGGGTAGTAGCCCGAGTACCCGGGAGATCGCGGGGTGCGTGGACCACTGCCCATGCTGGGGCTGTGTCCCTGGGCCAGTCATGCACAGATAAAGCCGAGGAGGGATCCCAGAGGTGGCAGGTGGGGACACGGCTGTCGGGGAGAGACTGACTCTGCTGTCAGCCTCTGCTCCCTCCAGGAAGTCCTCTCGGTGGGCACGAAGCCGACAGGTTTCTAGACGCAGGTCTTGCCCTGAAGCCTCTCACACTGGGATTGGGGGATCTTGCTCCTGAGTGTCTCTCTCCTCCTGGTGATCATCTTCAGGTGGAATTCTGGAAAGAGCCCAGGAGACCTGGCTTCCCAACCTGGCCCTGTTGCCAACTTGCTGTGAAGCTCCGGGCAAGTCCCTTCCTCCTCTGGGCCTCAGTTTACCCATCTGTAAAGTGAGGAAGGGAACTAGATGATCTGTAAGGGCCGCCCAGCTCTGTCTAGGAGTTCATGGCCACAACAGATCCAAAAAATCCTTAGCCTTGTCACGTGCTCCAAACCTCCAGATAGAGAGAAACAACCCACCTTGCCCTTGAAGACAAAATCCTTTTAACTTTCTCGCGCACTTTGACATCAGTCCTCTTGTGTAATCTTTACGGCATGGCAGTGACACGGCTGGCAGTGTGCCAGAGGAAGAAACTGAGGCCCAAGAGGGGAAGGACTTGTCCAGAGGCTCATGGCACGTGGGGGCAGAGCTGGCGCCGCAAGAGGTGTCCTTCCAGCAGGCCATCTGAGTCCTTGCCGTCCTGGCCCACCTCCCCGAGGGTGAGGCAAGAGCAGGGGCTCTGAGACGCCCTCTGCGGACAATAGCTCGCGGGGTCCTCAGGTTTATGTGGCCAGAAACTCAGAGCACAAATTAGCCGCCCACCACAAATATGAACACACAGGAACCACGGAAGGCATTGACAGTGCCACATCCCACACATGGATGCGAGTTTACATTCACCGCCGCACGTGCGAGAGCCAGCCCCAGCCCCCTGCCCCCTTGAGTCTGTCTGCAACCTCTAGCTCAGCACTGGCTAGAACTTTCTACATCTGCATTGTCCAACCCCCGCAGGGCTGGTGGCGGCTGTATCAGACAGCACAGCTCTACGAGTTCATTGTGACTGTCGAGAAACCTCAGTTTGATTTTTTTCACTTCATAGAGGTGTTGACTCCTCAGGCTGAGCTATTGACTGGACCAGAGGAGATGACCCACACTTTGTCCCCAGTGCCCTTGGGGGTGGTAGAGGGAACAAATGTCACAGATAGACCAGCTGGCCCTGGCTCACAGCGGGGGCCCAGTATTCCCTAGTTGAATGGACGCGAAATGAAAGGAAATAGAACGTATTTAGAAAGACAAAGTGTATTTGATGCCTGTCGCAAATGGCGGGCTCTGGGTGCAGTGGGCCTGGGATTTAATCCCAGCTGGGTCCATGTGTAGCCGCAAAGATCCCTTCCTTCACAGAGATGAGAACCAGGCTTGTCACCTGCCAGGCAAGGGTGGGCAGGGACCTGGCAGGCCCCAGTTATCAAGGAGCCCAACTCTGGGGGTCTGAGTGGGTGAGAGACCGGGCCCTGTCTCGGCTGCAGGACGGCACCGTCCACCTGGTGTACGGGATCCTGGAGGAGCCGTTCTGGTCGCTGGAGGCCATCAACACCTCGGGCGTGCAGACAGGGCTGCAGAGGGTACAGCTGCTGAAGCCCAACATCTCCATCCCGGCCCTGCCCTCGGACATGCGCACCATGGAGGTCCGCGCCCCCGATGTGCTGATCCCCGGCCAGGAGACCACGTACTGGTGCTACATCACGGAGCTTCCGGAGGGCTTCCCCCGGCACCACATCGTCATGGTACGTAGGGGTCCGGGACCCAGGTCCTCGTCCAGCTCTGCTTTCCACCCAGTGCCTCAGAGGCCTGCGGAGAGCTGTCCCTGTCGTCAAGAGCTGTCCATGGTCCTGCTTGAACCAGGTGTCCTCTTACTGCCTGAACTCCAGCTGGGCCACACACACGCTCTGACCCCCATCGCCCTGCTCGCTCCCCACCCTCCCAGGGCCTCTGTGCCCCCGCTGCCCAGCCTGGGCCAAAGGCAACTGATGTCTTGATTTCTGTGTCTTCCCCTGGCCTGGATCGGCTGTCTGTCTCTCTGTCAGGCCACCTCCCCCTTCACAAAAAACAACTCAACTCAGAACTCAGTAGCTCTAAACGCCCACGGGGAGACACAACAGAAATGACAATAGCTGTTGAATGTCCAGTATTTGCCTGGCCCTGTGGGAAGGCGAGGTGGATCACCCACTCCGTCACCACAATAGTCTGCACACAGTGCTAGGTATCATCATCTGTTTCCGGCAAGGAAGTGCAGCCCAGAGATTGTGTGAGAGCCCTGGGGTCACACAGCAGGAAGTGGCCAGCCTGACTCATGGCTGCGCCTGGGCCCCTGGGATCAGGCTCAGCCTCGGACAGCCTCTGTGTCCTTGTCCATCCACTACCATGACCGCATGAGGACAGCTGCCTTCCTGTCCCCACCTTATCAGGAAATGACTTGCCTGGGTCCCCTGTTCCTTCGCTCTGGAGCTCGTCATGGGCTTCTGGCAGATTCTGCCTGGTTCCAGGTTGGTGGCTCCGCCCTCAGAGCCCCGAGCCCCAGAAGCGCCCCTGGAAATGGCCTCGCTCCACCCTCCCATTTTACAGATGGGCAAGCAGAGGCCCATGGAAGGGGGCCGCTGGGCCAGAGCCCCCCATGGGTGTGAGCAGGCTGGTGGGTGGGTGTCCCCGGCCCGGGCTCAGCGCCTGTCTCCCGCCCCGCAGTACGAGCCTGTCGTCACCAAGGGCAACGAGGCGCTGGTGCACCACATGGAGGTCTTCCAGTGCGCCGCCCAGTTCGAGAGCTTCCCCCGGTTCAGCGGGCCCTGCGACTCCAAGATGAAGCCAGACCGCCTCAACTACTGCCGTCACGTGCTGGCCGCCTGGGCCCTGGGCGCCCAGGTGCGTGCCCCGCCGCCCCTCTCCCCCGTCCCCCGCCTCTCTGAGAGGCCCCAGGGGTCCAGAGGGTGCTCACGAGGCCGCCAGAGAGGCCCGTGCCCCGAGCAGCCCCCTTGCCTGTGCGTTGTCTAAACTCCACCTCTTCTGAGCCACGAAGGCTTCGTCCAGCCTTTGTCAGTTCTATAAAAATGCAGAAGCCCCACGAGCTTATGTTCCCCGTGGGTATCGACCTCGTTTCCCTCCTGGACTTGGGGGCTTTGTGCACAGGGTGGTCCTGGGGCCGGCTGGTGGCAGGGCTGGTTGATGTGGCCTCCATGGGCTGCAGCCGGGGGGTTTTCGTGGGCTTCCTCCACCCACCCAGAGGAGGGCCGGGCGGGGCTGTGCGAGGGGCTTGGGCGGTGGGCTCGCCTGGGGACACCAGCTCCCCTCACGCCCTGACATCCGTGGGGGCTGGTAATGAGCTGCCCGTCAGGCAGAGAGCATCATTCTAATTTGGCTGCCCCACCAACACCACCCACGGCAACTCAGGCCCCAACAGTTGGGTGGGCTCGCTCCGACCCCGTCTGGGACGCCCCTGGTGACACACCAGTCTGTCTGCCTGGGGTGCGGCACCTAAACGCCTGACATCCCTCCTTCCCCCGCCCCTCAGGCCTTCTACTACCCGGAGGAAGCTGGCCTTGCTTTCGGGGGCGCTGGCTCCTCCAGATTCCTCCGCCTGGAAGTTCACTACCACAACCCGCTGAAGATAAAAGGTAGGGAGCTCTGAGCGTGTGGCTTTTCCGTCCCTGCCTCCGTCCTCTCCTCCGAAACCCTTGGCCTCGGCCATGTCGAGCCAGGAAGATAACTGGGGGTCTGTTCAGCACTGGACCCCCCTCTCCAAAGTCTCGCCTCCTTGTTCTACGACGCCTCGCGGAGCGTGTCCCTCTCGTGTCTCTCCTTCACTCTCCGTCTCCCACCACTGCGGTGGGTGCCCCGGGCTGGCTCCTCGCTGCACCCCGGACAGCGGGGGCTCACCACCTTCTCCCGTCTTCCTTGTAAACACCCACTGCCGTCAACGTGGCACTGTCCCAGGCGCCACCCCCGGGAAAGGCAGGTGGAGGTGCCTTGCACGCCCATTTGGCAGATGAGGAAATTAAGGTCCAGTGGTGAAGGGACCCCACCGGGGCCGTGAAGTGGGCAGGCGGGGCCAGGGGTCTGGGCCCGGGCCATCTTCAGGGCCCGGGTCTCGCAGCCCTGCGATGGCTGAGCCCACACTGGAACCAGGCAAGGCTGGTCTGACTCCAAAGCTATGAAGAATCACAGAGGTGGTGGACCCCTCTGAGTAAATGCAGCCCCCCTCTCACACTCCTCCCTCGCTTTGCAGCACCAGCCAGAGCAGAAAGCTAGTGTTAGGGCATGCTAACCAGTGGGTTCAAGGGCAGCAGGGAGAGGCCTCTGGCCAGAGCAGTGTCCCATGTGCCGTTTCCTGGGAAGTCTGACTTCTCTGAGGCTGCTCAGACCAGTAGCTGCCCCTCATCCCGCCTGCCCATCCCCGACAGGGTAACCCGCCAGCACCACCGCGCAGTGCCTCTGCCCTCCCCAGAACAGGTGGGGCCGGGACAGGGCACCTGGCAGGTGGCAGGAGGCAGGGCATTGCGGAGCCAGTGTGGTCCCTGCCCAGAACCCATGCTCCGGTGGCCTGACCACGGGCAGGCACTGCCCCCGGGACTGTCCTCAGCAAGGGAAGAGCCCTGGCTCAGTTGGCGGCTTTTCCGGCTCTGAGCTTCCCACCTGCTTCTCCAGACACTTCACAACAGACTACGTTCCTGCGGTGAGTGTGAGTGTGCGACGGGGTTTCCTATCCACGTGTTCTGTGTCGGGGACAGCACACGCGGCTTGCTCATAGGGCCTCTCTAACCAACCCCCAGGAGAGGCGCGGAGTGCCCAGGGAAAGGATCTGGGCATGCGTTTGAGCGTCCGGTCAGCTCAGAAGGGCTGGGCAGGGGCGAGGACCCCTCCGGTTGACCTCCTGTTTTCCCTGCGCGGTACCCACGGCCTAAGAAATGCAGACGCAGGCTCTTCACTCGTCAGTATGTACTGAAGGACTCTCAGGCGACGTTGTTCCAGGCTCGGAGGGGAGACTTGAGATGAGCACGACCCATCCATGCCCTCAGAGAATTCTGGAAGGCAGAGAAGACCCGCACTCACACCTGCGCGCACGCATACACACACACACATACTGGCAGGAAGCAGCCAGGCCTTTAGGAGGGAGACACAAGCAAAGTGCAAGAAAGTATAAGAGGAGGATCCATGTGGCCTGGGTGGCTTCCTGGCGGCATTTGACCTGGGCCTTGGAGGACGAGGAGAATTCTCACAGCGTAAGCTGCCAGGTGTCGCATTCCAGATCGAGGGAATCGTCTGTGCACAGATGAGGAGGTGGTGAATGGAGACCATGTCCCGGGAACGTGGGCGGTCCCGTCTGGCTGCAGCGTAGGGGATGGGAAAGCCAGCTGGGGGCAGATAGTGGGGTCTGCTGGATCACCCTGTGCCTGAAGGTGCACAGCCAGAGTCGGTCTTTAGGATGGCAATGCCAGTTGATGTTGTATCAGGAACTGAAAATATTTCCCTCTGTCTGTTGCACCAGCATCTTCCACTATATAGCCACGTATTTGTCTTCTTCTCATTCTCTCTTAAAAAAAAAGAGGGCCGGCCCGGTGGCACAGTGGTTAAATGCACGCGCTCCGCTGTGGCGGCCCGGGGTTCGCGGGTTTGGATCCCGGGCGTGCACTGACGCACCGCTTGCTAAGCCATGCTGTGGCGGCGTCCCGTATAAAGTAGAGGAGGCTGGGCACGGATGTTAGCCCAGGGCCAATCTTCCTCAAGAGAAAAGGGGAGGATTGGCATTGGATGTTAGCTCAGGGCTAGTCCTCCTCACACAAAAAAAGAAAAAGACATATTTTTACTTGTGTAAGTGAGGGGCGGAAACAGCCTGAGATAAGAACACCAGCTCCAGGCTGGGTGTCAGCCTGTCCCTTCCCAGCTGGGTGACCCTAGGTGGGTGACCATGCCCCCTGCTGTGTTTGCTCACCTCCCACAGCTGTTCCGAGGCTGGGAAAGCTCCCCGACGTAACGCTCCCATCCGAATGTGGGCTGCCAGCGACTTTCTTCCTGGCGGCATAACTAATACTTTCTGCCACCGTTGAAATTATCTACAGTGTGCACAGAGAAGGGCATAAGTCAGCCAGGGCCTTAGCATGATACAGGATTTATTGCTCGTTTAAAACCTGAAAGCAAATGGATTTTTGAAAACTCCTTAAGCATCCGGGAAGTCTGTCTCTTCCTGATTATCTGGTTGTATTTATGGATCCTTTGCCAAATATAAGGATGCTCCTGTCACTTCACAAATCTGGAGATGGGCCGCTTTTCCATAAATATCAAAATTCCACAATTATTTCATTATTTCATCCCCAACTGAGTTTTAACCAACCACGTCTCCCTTTTTATTATTATCCTCTGATATAATCAGCCCGGAGACATAGAGCTGGGTTTGGACAGTGCAGGGGGAGCATGGAGGAGGAGGGAGGGAGGCAGAGGCGAGAGGGGGCGCCCTTGGCTCCACCTGGGACCAAATGAGCAGGGAGACAGCCAAGTTCCCGGACAGCGCCCTGGGCTCCCATCCCAGCTCTGCTGCTTCCCAGACCTGCGATCTTGGGCGGGATCTTCAGCTCAGGCCTCAGTTTCCTCTTCTGTAAATTTGGGAGGATGACTCTTCAGTGACACAGGCTCCCCTGCCCGTCTCCCAGCTCTACGGTACATTCCGAGATTCCGAGGGGTTGGGCCATGTCCAGCCCCTCGTCTCTCCAGTGGGACCAGCCCAGTCCTCCGCCCCGAGGTGCTCAAGGCCTCGTCACTGACTGATTCCATGCAGGGGTGGGGCAGGGTTGGGGCTACCGAAGATCACACGGTTGTGTGGCTTAGCCTGTGGGTGCCGGCACCCCCGGACTGCTGACCATTGTATGACCGCTGGGACGCCTGCCCAGGGAGCTTCGGGACTCTCCAATCGGCCAGCCGCAAGAAGAGGCGGCAGGCGTGGCTGGACGGCGGCAGGCAGAAGCACCGAATTCTCCTTTGGAAGAAGCCCTTGCCTGTGCACCCAGAGAGGCCCAGAGAGGGACAGTGACTTGTCTGAGAGCACACAGCACAGTGTTGACCAAGTGTGGCCTGGGGCCGGGCGTGAGCCAGGGGGCTAAACCCTTAATGCCGGCCCTGCTCCAGGGGTCCACCTCCTGCTCCGGTTTTCCCTGAGATGTCTACTCAGTAGACGCGTGTCCTGGGTCTGCCTCGATCCTGCAGGGCAATAGTCAAAGGAGCAAAGAGGGAAGCCGTCAGAAGGAGGTACCGTCAACGCTTCTTGTCAACGTCCACACACAGGTGCGCTCTCACTTGCCCATCTCTGACATGGGCCCGAGGCTCCTCTGCCGGACGGGTTGGCGGCTGGAGTTCCATGCCCTCCTCTCTGCCCAAACCATGCCTACAGGTCGTCCTGTGGGCTGATTCCAGCTTAGATCCCTTTGAACGTGGAGGAAGATCATCAGAGCACTTGCAAAGCCACCCGAGGTGTTTGCAAGCTTCCCAGATCTGCTCCAGGCATCTCACCCCACGTGATTCCACAGCGGGTTTTCGGGTTTTCGTTACCTGCCTTTATCAGGTCGTCCCGCAGCGTGCAACTCGGTTTTCATAGAAACAATGGCTCTTTCTTTCCATGGAGGTATTACATGGTGCGAGATAATTGATCCTTGCAATAGACCTGCCCGGCGTAAACAGGTGTGGGGACAAAAGCCCTTGGAACACACCGCAAGTGGGAGCAGTGTAGGGTGACGGGCACCGCCCCCCGGCTGAGGGCCGCTGGGTGTCAGTCTGAGGGGACGGCGGGGGAGCTGTGGGGCTGCCGCTCACCTCCGTCCTGCCCTCTCCCAGGCCGCCGTGACTCCTCGGGCATCCGACTCTACTACACGGCCACGCTGCGGCGCTTCGACGCGGGCATCATGGAGCTGGGCCTGGTGTACACGCCCGTGATGGCCATCCCCCCACAGGAGAAGGCCTTCGTCCTCACCGGCTACTGCACGGACAAGTGCACCCAGCTGGTGAGTGGCTGGGCCTGGGCTGGGCCGGCGCTGTCCGGTTCCCCCACCAAGGTCCTGTGGGTGGCAGTCAACGAGGGAGGGCATGAGTGGCTTTAGTCCCCCCACCCTGCAGAGCTTGTAACCGTGGCTCCCACTTAGTCACAGTGCGTGCCAGCACCTCCACATGCCGCATTTTCAAATACACTTTCACTTTCTCTCCTATATACTTCTACGTGCCCTCGTATGGGATGGAAAGACAGAGTTTTGTTTTGTGTTTGAAAACAAACCGAATGGTAAACATTTGTCCCGTGACTTCCCTTTTAACTGCTGCCCAGCCTCACGCAGCGTGATTTTCACTGGGGGCTTCTCCCGGGCGGGACCAGGTGAGGCCAGCGAGGGACCCAGGGCGCAAAATGCAAGTGAGCACGGGTTCTCCGGGCTGTGCCAGGGCGGGTGGAGCACGGGTCAGCCTTAGATTTGGAGCAAACAGTGGGGACCCAGCTTCCAGAGGAGCAGAAGTGACCCCCACATTCTGCGCCCTCGGTGCCCACTTGCCTTACCCAGTCGGGCCTGTGTTGAACTGTCCCCTTGTCACCAGTGTCCAGGCTGCTGTTAACTTCTCACTTATGGGAAGGTAGATGTCTAGAAGTGAAATTGCTGTGCACAGAGCACCTGACCTTTAATTTGAAGGAATCTCGAAAAATGCCTCCAGAAAGCCCATTCCCGTCCTTCCTCCCACACACAGACCCGAGGCTGCCCACTTCCCCTGACTTCCCGACCCACCATATTATCAGTATTTTCTCAATCACTTGGGAGGAAAATATTTCACTGTGGTCAGTTTGAATTTCCCTGACGATTTGCAGAGCTCCAAGATCTTTTTTTGTGTGTGCTGAGGAAGATTCGCTCTGAGCTAACATCTGTTGCCAATCCTCCTCTTTTTGCTTGAGGAAGACTAGCCCTGAGCTGACATCTGTGCCCACCTTCCTCTATTTTGTACATGGGACGCCAACACAGCATGGCTGATGAGTGGTGTATGTCTGCCCCCGGGATACCAACCCACAAATCTGGGCCCCCAAAGCAGAGGGCTCGAACTTAAACAGTAGGCCATGGGGCCGGCCCAAGCTCGAGGATCTTTTCACTGTCTCTGGGCCATTTGTTCTTTTCTGTGAAAGTCTGCTCACAACCTCTGTCGGTTTTTCCAGTGGGCTGGTTGTTGGTCCCACTGTGGGTTTCTGGGAGTTCCTTTTATCTTACGGACATCATCGCACAGCCGGTTGTGAATGTTGTGAGCACTTCCTCCTGTCCACACCTTTGCTTCTCGCAGTGACCCGCAAGGTGCAGTTAACACCCCCACTTCCCGGATGAGGAGACAGAGGCTGCCGGGGTCTCGGTGCCAGCAGCTTCGGAGTGAGGGGTCCCATATGGGCCTGACTGACTTCTAACGCTGAAGCTCGCTTCGTGATGCAGTTACGGTGCATTTCCTTCTCCAGCGAGTGGATTCGCCAGGGTTTGTTCCTCATGCGGGCTCCCCGAGCTCCCCAGTCTTCTGACCGTTAGGCAAGCAAAGTCTTCCTGGGGCTGCAGAGAGACAGAGCTGTCGGCCTGTGCAGGGCACGCTTGCTCCTGCAGAAGATCAACTCCCTGGGTCTGAGGCCAGGGCCAAGAAATTGTCACCACACCCAGCAGCTGGCATTGTCCCCCGTGTCCCCAAAGCTGGCAAAGCCGTGTGAAAGGCTCCGTGCCCTCGGGCTGGGGCTGGGAGTCACCTCCTCGGGGCTCACCGGGAAGAGTGGCCCCGGACCAAGCAGCATGTGCTGCCGGTTGCCGGGACCCAGGTCACTCTGACCTGCTGAACTTGAGAACGCCTCTCGCCCGCCTGGAGGTCAGACCTGCCTTGTCCGGCAGTCTCCAAACGCTTCAGAGCGATGAAATGAAAAGAACTCAATTTGCTCTTCCTCTCCTTCAAACCGTGCACTCTTTGAAAATCCCATGTATGTGGAATACTCACTGAAGGGACTCCCATGGTGTTCGGTCTTGCATCTCTGTAAGCAGATCACCGAAGGGCATGAATTCTGCAGTCAGAGGTTTGGCGTGGTCTGCACATCTTGTCCAAACAGACAAGCCAAGAAAAAGTGTAGTGTCTTGGACCGTAGGCCCCAGGATGGCGCATACCCCTCCCCCATCAGACACCAGCATCTCTGGGCCAGTGGTCAGCCTCTGGGGGCTGGAGGGGCGAGACCCAGGACCCCGTGTGTTAGCAGGCCCAGCCCCAGTCATCACAAATGTGGCCATAAGGTTTCCCAGTCCTCAAGGGGGCCAAAAGGTATCGATAACGACAAGGGCAGGGGCAGCAGCTGGTGGAGAAAAGGCGGAAGTCAGAGACTTGCAGAGAGCACAGTGGTCTGGGGTCACTCAGCGACGGGGCGATGGGCCAGGGACTCCCTGGCCGGCAGTGAGCTGCCGGCAGTGTGGATGAAATGGAGCAGAGCAGGTGGTGTGTGGTCAGGGAGACGATGAGTTGTGAAGAAGACATTTGACAGGTGTAATCCATTTTGTGAAGAAGACACTTGACAGGTGTAATCCATTTTAGGAAATGTTCTATCCAAACAGAGTTAACATCAGGTTGGGGAAAATGTCCATTCTCTGGAAAATTCCCTCATGCTCTGATGGTAAAGGGAGGGCTGGCCCATCTCTCCATGTTGCTGGCCGACAGCTCCGATGGGCAGTGCTGTGGCTGGAATACAGGGTGACGGTGACAGCCTGTATTCCAGGGTGAAGGCTGCCTGGGGCCGTGCAGGTGAGGCGACGGCAGCCGCAGGGCAGCCAAAGGGCCTGCCGGTGCATGAGGGTGGCAGGGGCTGGACAGGACGGCCATCATTTGTGGTCCACCAGACGTGGGCCTGCAGAGCAAGGAGGCCACGTTGCACTCACCATGGCACACGGGGGGCTTGCCTTAAAGTCTGTTGAACGAAGGCAGAATGAACTGATCCGCCTGAGGGGGCTCGAGAAAGGACCAGAGGGAAGCAGTCCACACCCGAGTGAGCCTCTGGGGCTCCAGGCCCGGGCTGCTGCTCCGGAAGACCTGGGCTCTTACAGTGACATCTCTCTTAGGGCAGCCCATTCCCCGCTAAGTTTTCTGATGGGGGATTTGACTGATCAGTGAGAAAGACGAGGCCCTGGCAACACAAACGTTCTCGGGAAGCAAACTCAGCATCGCTGTGCTGTGGCCCGTGGTCAGTGCTGGGAACCAGCCAAAGGGCAGTCGTCAGGATCCCCCACCTGGGCAGCCCTGACCCTGGTGCCCCTGCCCCACAGGCCCTGCCTCCCTCGGGGATCCACATCTTCGCCTCCCAGCTCCACACGCACCTGACAGGGAGGAAGGTGGTCACCGTGCTGGCCCGGGACGGCCGGGAGAGAGAGATTGTGAACAGGGATGACCACTACAGCCCTCACTTCCAGGTAGGGACCCGCCCCGCCCCGCCAGGGCCTGCCCAGGGCACGGCTGTGGGCCTGTTTGATCTCCTCTCTCCTGATGACCATAGAAACACCCCTGATCTGGGTTTCTTCTCCTGGGCCAGGCCCAGACCCCTGAGGAGCGCACAGCATCCAGCCCTTTCTCTCTTGATCTAAGGGAGGGATGCTGGTGGTAGATTCTGGCATGTGGCCAATGGCGGGATTTGGGGACCCGGGCAGTCTGATGGTAACATCCGTCTTGGTTAACCACCTTCTTGTTCTAATCCCTTCCTGGCCAGAGGCCTAACTTAGCCAGTCTTGGCTCCCCCAGAGGGGCTGGGACCAGTGGACACCCCCAGGGGGTTTCAGGGAAGGTGGCTGGGGGTTGGGTGCTCTCTCATGTCTCCCCCTTCCCTCCGCTCTACCCCCCCCAGGAGATCCGCATGTTGAAGAAGGTTGTGTCTGTGCACCCGGTGAGTGCCCAGTCGGGGCCGGGAGGCCGGGAGGCTGGGAGTACCATCCCCAGAGGGGAGAGAGACAGCGATGGGGGAGAGCAGAGGCCATGTGAGGGTCTTCCGAAACCACGTCCACGCAGGGCAGGGGCCAGGGCCGTCCCCTGGTGAGACTCTCCAGGACGTCACAGAGAGGCCTCGGAGGACAGGACTAGACAGCTCTCAGGGTGACGTGCGTCCACCCACCTTATCAGCCTACCACATACCCCCAGAGCTTTAGGGAGAGATGAGGGCACGAATGTCGCCGGTGGGCCCACTGACCATGCAGAAGGGGAATCCCAGGCCTGGTAGGGGCTTGCCCAAGTTCACCCTCAGGCTGGGACATGACCAACCAGCCCGCACAAGCACCTTCACCCAGGGGCCACTGCTGGGTCCTCGGGAGCCGGTAGATGACTTAGTGCCTGGCGGGCGCTGTGGCTCCGTCACACGTGGGGACGGGCCCAGTGCACCTGTTCTCCCCAGGTGGGCAGACGCTGATGGGTGTCCGTGGCTTGGCTCCCCAGGGGGACGTGCTCATCACCTCCTGCACATACAACACAGAGGACAGGAAGCTGCCCACCGTGGTGAGTACCTGACCGCTCCCTGCTGCCTGCCGTCGAGCAGGCGCGGCCTGGGCATCCCTCTGGGGACTCTCTGCACTTTCTCGAGGACAAGTCTTCACTCCTCCCCTAGAGCATAGGTTGCTGGAGGGCGGGGTGTCCTCCCTCATTCACTCCACAGGCCAGCGGTCTCAGGTGGGGTCCCCGGACCAGCAGCGTCAGCATCCCCTGGGAACTTGGTAGAAACACAGACTCAGGGCTCCACCCCGACCCCTGAGCTGGAATGCGGGTGGCGCCACCCAGCCGTCTGTGGTTAACAAGCTCCCCTGCCTGAGTCGGAGAGCCACTCGGATAAACCCGTGTCGGCACCCGTGTGCCGACGCTGGGAGAAGGGCCTGAGGTTGACCCCGTCCCCTGGAGCTCAGTCAGCCCGGGAGACGGCCTGCAACACCTGTGCAGGCAGCAAGCAAAGTCATGATAAAAGCCAAAAACCAGGTGGAGCTGGCGGTGGAGGAAGGTAAGTGAGGGCTCCAGGCAGGGGGCTGGCGTGCAGGACAGCCCAGAGGACAGAGAACATCCCCGGACTTTAGGTGCCACACTTGCAGTGGCCTAACAAACTGTTAATCAGCAAAAAGAAAGGGGCTACAGAAACCCTCATCTTTACGCTGTTTCCCTCTGGGCTTTATTGCCGACAGTCCTGTGTAATGCACGGTTGACCCTGCTCTGCAGGGACGCCACACGGATTCATTGGGCTGGACTGTGGACAGCCGGGGAGGAGGATCTGTCCGGGAAAGACTGTTTTCCAGGCTAGTTGTGCAGGCACCAACAGATGGGCGGCCACACAAGGTACCATCCAGCTGGGGCTCTTCTGCGAGTGACAGGCGATGCTATTAATAACTGTGCCCAGTCAACAGGCTCAAACCACACCTGTCCCGGGCAACTGACTCCCTGCTCCTAGATCCTGCTGGTTGTCCCCTTGATCACTGTGGCTCCCAGTAAACAGCCTGTGAATCACGTGGTTCTGAGTGGACCCAGGCTGCCCCCCGCCCCCTGAGACTCTGGTCTGTAGCACTGCTCAGCTCTGCGTTTTCATTCAACTGAAGTTTATCAAATTCCTGCTCTCAGTCTCATTTAGTTTTTTTCCAACAGCTTTATTGTGAGATAATTCACATAGCACACAATTCACCCATTTAAAGTGTGCAATTCGATGACTTTTAATATATGCACAGATCTGTGCCCCCATCCCCAGTCACTTCCAGAACATTTCAGCACTCCAAAACAAGCCCCGGATCCTTTAGCCATCCCCCCTCCACTTCCTCCCTCCTCACAGCCCTAAGCAACCCCTGATCTACCTTCCGTCCCTGTGGACTACCTCTTCTGGACTTTCAGATAAATGGAATTACGTAACCTGTGACTTTTTGTGACCCGCTTCTTTCCCTCAGCATCATGTTTTCGAGGTTCATCCATGTTGGTGCACGTCGGTGCTTCATTCCTTTTTATGGCTGATAACATTCCAGTGTATGGATGGACCACACTTGTTTATCCATCACCTGTTGATGGACCTTTGAGTTGTTTCCACCTCTCATTTAGCTTTCACACCAGTCTCCAAGGTAGGAATCTTTGTATTTTCACAGGTGAGCAACAGAGGCTCAGAGAGGGAAGAAACTTGCTGGAGGTCACAGAGCTGATCACTAGTGGGCTGAGCTGGGATTTAACCCAGGGCTGTGTGCCTGCAAAGCTCTTTCCACTCGCTTCCTCCCTCCCTCTGGATTTGGGGTGACAACTGCTCTGGGTCCATGGTCACAAAATCGGGGGGCAGGAGAGCTTTCCAGGCACACAACCCCCCCCTTATGGTATCTCGAGGAGAGGCTTGGGCTATAATTACAACAGCCGCTAATGTGGAATGCTTCCCCCACATGGAGGCCTTGGCACTGAGCTAATAACTCATCCTGTCCGCACTCCAAGCCTCTCCAGGACGCTGTGAGGCAGGTGTCACCAGGAAACAGTGAGGTGAGACAGCCAAGGGCACCCGGCTAGCAGGGAGCGGGGCTGGTCCAGAGGCCAACCCCACACGTGCCGCCTCTTGGCAGAGAGCTCCTTATGCGTGAGTAAGGCTCCAGGCAGGACCACAGCATCTCCCCATTCTCCAGGTGAGGCCACTGGGGCCGCAGGAGGGGGAGAGACTTACCGGACATCCCATCAGCAAATAGTGAAGGGGAGCCCCCCAGGCTGACCCCCACCCAGTGCTACCTCTGTGAAGGCCAGGCCTGGTAAGCACCCCTGACATCTCAGACCCCCACCCTGTGTAGGCGCCCAGGCCGACCTGCGCCCTCCGGTCGGTCTTGGTGGCTACATCACTGCGCCAGGCAGGATCAAGGAAGAGGGCAGCTGGGCAGCTCCCAACAGCAGAAGGGGCTTCCCATGCTCTGACAACCCCGTACCGGCTGATCCGAGACAGCGGCCTTTGAAATGCGACTCCCATCCCCAGGTGGGGACAAAGGGAGGGCTTCTGAGAGCAGAGCCGGCACAGGTCAGCATTCCCTTTTGATGTCTAAGAGGCAGAGCAGTAGGAGGCATGGGAATTCATTCTGAGGCCAGGACGGGACAGGTGACAAAAGCTGAGGTTGGTCCCCTGGGGCCTTGGGAAGTGAGGGAACAACACAGGTAAAGCCCTGCCCAGAAGGTGCCGCTCCGGGGAGCCAGACAGATCTGCTTACAGGGAATTTCCTTTTTCTACCTACATTGGGACAGGGGCACTGAGGTGAGCCCCAGCTGGGCTTTTCACAGTCCTTCTGTTCTGCCACAAAGTAGCAAATGCCTTTCTTCTCTCAGACGTTCCCACTGCCAGCTAAAACCCCCAGACCCACATCACAAAGAGCTGAGAGCTGGAGGCCAGACAGAGGTGGGCCTGGGGCCGCACCCCACCCCACCGGCCCTGCTGGGCTCTGAGACGGCTGTTCACTCCCCAGCTCTGCTCTCTCCAGCCCGGCTCCTCCACACACACACACACACTTGCGCGCTCGCGTGCATCCCCCTCCTCCTCCTCCCCCTCCTCTCCCTCCTCCTCCTCCTCCCCCTCCCCACCCCCAGGCTGGGCTCCACCCTCACCAGCTCAGAAAGCAGGGACCCCTCCAGGGGCTTAAAGCTGACAGTGGACGAGGACTCGGAGAACCCTGCTCTGCCCACTCCCACACAACAACAGAGCCACAGGGTTGCCCTGGGAGACTTCATAACGGCCTCTGGTCACCTCTGGTCACCGTCTCCCCTTCTGGAGCCCCTGGTCCTCTCAGAGCCAAGTTCCAGAAATGACTGGTGAATGGTGCGGGGTCTGCAGCCCTCCCTCTCCAGGCCCTCCCTGGAGGCCGAGAGGGTAGCTCCCGGCCCAGGTCTGGAGGCCGTGTCCCCTCAGGCCTTGCCACTACGCAATCTGGGACTCAGTTTCTGTATCCATGAAGTGGGCCCACTAACGCCCGGTCTGCTTCCCTCTGGTTCTTCTCTTCCTCACACTCGTCGCCACCTGAGCCCCGTTTGCCTGACTCATCTGTCATCTCCCTCCTGTCAAGGGGGAGAGATCCAAGAGGGCAGGGACTGGGCTCCTTCAGGACACTGCCTAGCACCGCTCAATGAATGAATGAATGAATGCATGAATGCAGTGACCACACGGAAGCGCAGTGAGCCGACAACAGCACTGGAGAGGGCAGCGCGATGCTGATGGCATCTCCTCCGTCTTGCAGGGCGGCTTCGGCATCCTGGAGGAGATGTGTGTCAACTACGTGCACTACTACCCCCAGACGCAGCTCGAGCTCTGCAAGAGCGCTGTGGACCCCGGCTTCCTGCAGAAGTATTTCCACCTTGTGAACAGGTGATGGTGCCTCAGAGGGTGCCTACTGTGCTCTCTGACCCTAGGCATGGCAGGGGAACCCCAACACAGAGACCCCCATGCCCTGGTAGGCAGCCGGGGGAAATGAGGAAGCCAGGCTAAGTTCTCAGAGCAGGGTGAGCATGGGTGTGGCGACTGTACCTCCATTGCCCCTTAAGGTGCCTGTGGCAGGCATCACTAATCAATCCCCGCACTCATTTCATGCTGAGCTGGACTTGGTCTGAGAAGCCCCCTCAGGCCAGCCCTGGAGGAGCCATTCCCAACCCACCCAAGGTGGCACGAGAGATGAAGCCCATTAGCCATCGCTGGCGTGGAGGCAGGGCCAACATAGCATGTTAGGATGTCGTTGGGGGCAGCAGGGCTGGGGAGGAGGCGACCTGAAGGCCACTCTGGGGACCCCACCACGTCTGCAGGGAAGCATCAGTTCCCTGCCCACCCCGGATGGGCTGTCCCTTCTCCACCAGGTTCAACGCTGAGGAAGTCTGCACCTGCCCTCAGGCCTCCGTCCCTGAGCAGTTTGCGGCTGTTCCCTGGAACTCCTTCAGCCGCCAGGTGCTGGGGGCCCTGTACAGCTTCGCCCCCATCTCCATGCACTGCAACAAGTCCTCGGCCGTGCGCTTCCAGGTGCGCCCTCCCACCCACCGGGTGTGTCCCCTCACCCCTCTCCGACGCCTGGCAGCGAGTCCTGCAGCTGCCCCCCTCTGTGCCCCAGATCTGGGAGGCAGAGTTCCTGGAAGCATCTGGGAGCTGGGTTCATTGCTAAATCAAACATTCCCCACACCCAGGGCAGGGCTGACACCGGCCCATCTGAGGGTGGTGTGGGGTGGACATCTGAAGTGGTTGAAAACGTGGCCTTTGATGCAGCCTTGCCGGGGAGAAATGGCTAAAAACTCAGCCTGCGCCGGGAGCACTGGTTGCTTCGTTTGGGTGGTGATTGAAGTGAGGGTGAGCAGGGAGGTGGGGGCCCAGGAACTCTCAGGTGAGGACCCCAAGTAGCCACCTGGGGCGGAAGGGTAAGTTTGGTTTGAGACAAGGTGAGTTTGAAGGCAAGAACCCAACAGCTTGTTGGGAAAAGTGGCTGGGGAGGTGGTGTCCCACCTCACGCCTCCAGCCTCAGTTCACCTCCTGGTTCCTTCCTTGCAGGGTGAATGGAATCTACAGCCCCTGCCCGAGATCATCTCCAAGCTGGAAGAGCCCACCCCTCAGTGCCCAGCTAGCCGGGGTCAGAGCCCCACCGGCCCCACCGTCGTCAGCATTGGTGGAGGCAAAGGTTGAGTGGGGGGCCATTTCCTCGCTGCCCCCTCCATGCCATCCCTGTGGACTCACGCCAGCTCTGTGCACCCTCACTTTGTGAAGACCCCCATGCAACAGCTCTGTGTGCCCAGGAAGAAGGGGCTGGCCAAACCCCTGCCTGGGACCATGGTCCATTCCAGTATCCTCGCCTCAGGGACCCCTTGCATGGCTAAGAGGATCCCGTGCGAGCTCCCCGTTGACCCACCCAGGACTGGGCAGACCAAGACCCTCTCCACACCCTTTTGATGCAGAGTGAGGATAACCCGCCTCGGTGGTCTAGAGTCCAGTGCCCAGAAAGCCCTGTCCGTCTCGCTGGGAGGGGCCGGTCCTCCTGGGAATGAGCCACGCCTGGCTGCGGGGCAGACTCACCCGAGACAGCCCACGTCCCCAGCCCCTGTTGATGGCGGTTTGTGTTGGTGTGTGGCGGGTGCGAGTGCTACTTAAACATTTCCCAGCAGGGCGGCTCGTTTGTCACGGTGGGCGTCTTCCCTGAGACGGAGGCAGGACAAGCCACTTAGCTAGTTAGAGACGTGCCTGGGGAAATTGCTCCACTGCAGGGTAAATAGATATTTTCGCCCACCGAAGGGGAAACCTAACAACAACTCTCACCACTACCAGAGACGAGACGGCAAAGATCCAGACAGGAATTGGGTGCCAGCTCCTTGGGGAAGTGGAAATATTAGCCCAGATTGCTTCTCTCCACGGTGGAACGAGTGGTCAGTAGACCATCCTGGCTCTGGAATCAGACCCGTTAGAAGCCCAGTTCCACCTCTCGGTCAGGGTGTGACTTGGGCAGACCGTTTCACCTCCCTCACCCTCGGTTTTCTCATCTGTAGAATGGGGCCAGTGCCGCGCAGGTTGATGAGATGATGAAGCCCACACGTGGGCCGGCGCACAGGGAAAGCTAATGCAGGGTGGTGTTGCTCCCCCAAGAGAGAGCCTTGTCTGAACCTCCTCCCCAAGCCAGTGCTCTGCCCCATGGTGCAACGGCGACGTGCCCCACGCTTCCCCAGCCGGTCTCCACCATCCTCCCCTCCAAGCTGCCTCCCATGTAAGGCAAGTGCAGCTCTCTGATGGTTCTGCAGGGAGTAACAGATGAGGCTGCGTTCAGCCAATTCAGCAAAACGCTGCGCAGCCTCTAGGGGAGAGAGGGTGATGGATGGGCCTCCGAGTCCCCCTTACCCTCCAGCAGACGTCAGCTAAGCGGCTGCTTCTCAGTTTGTGAGCCACTTCATTACAGACGGGAATAAACAGGCCCGGACGCTCTGCACTGCGGCGTATAAATCACGGCTTCCCGCGCCGTAAGTCTCAGGGCGTGATGGCTGTGAAATGCCAGGGCCCGACAGAGGCTGGAGCGCGGACAGGCCCTTCATCATCTTTATGGCCTCAGGTGACAGGTGGAGAAGAGGCCCCTCCCCTCAAGGGGCAGGCCTGAAGCATGCCCAGCCTCTGGCCTTGATCGTATGGCCCAAGAGGACCCGGTCCCTCTGATCCTGCCCGACTGCCAGCCCGGACAGGGGTCCTGGTCAGCTCCGAGCTCTGGGAGGGGACGTGAGATAGACCCGCAGGCCTCGGGCAAGCCTGCCCCACACCCGCCGAGCCCTTCCTTGCTGGCCACTGCCCTCGCCTTGTTCCCCAAACACCCGGGAGGCACCTGTGGCATTCCAGTCTCTCCGACGAGGGAACAGAGGTTCACAGAGGAGAAATGCTTTGCCCTGGGTCCCCCTCCGGAGGATTAGTGGGAAATCACAGCCAGTTCCCGAACCTTCTACCACCCACAGTGACAGCCCCCCCCCCACACATCACTCACTCTCCTGCTCTCAGGCTGGTCATCCTCTTCCTCCTGGGGGCAGCCTGATGGGCTCTCCTACAAGACCACAGCCTGTTCCCCGCCCCGCCCTGGCGCCTGGCTCCCACAGAACCCCACCCGGATGACTGAGTCCAGTGTCATTGATAATAGTTGCCACAGTGTGCACACTGGTTCCGTGCTAACACTTCCAGCACACCTACGACACACGGGCTGTTTCTGCTCCCATTGACAGATGGGGAAACTGAGGCTTAGAGATCTCAAGTTGGGTGCCAAGGTCACCCAGAGAGCCGTGGAGCCCAGCGGTGGCCCGGGTCTGACGGCTGTCGGGGCTCTCAACCTCCGTTTCCTTATTTAGGACACAGGCAGAGTCCCAGGCCCCTGTGAGGACGAAGCAAGGACCCTTGTGGGAAGGGCTTTATTACCTGAAGACAGCCCGCCAGGGCGAGGGGCTACCTTGGCCAAGCCCTTCTAGCGACTGTCGAGGCTCACTCATCTTCTGAAGGACTGGAGTGGTGGGAAGAGCGAGGCGAGGGTCTAGCAGCCTGGGTTCCCATTCCTCCCTCTGCTGTGTGGCCCTGGGCAACTTGCTTTCCCTCTCTGGGTCTCCATCTCCCCATCTGCCCCCTGAGGAGAAGGTTCCCCACCCTCTCTGGGGTGGGGGCTGCTAGGGTGACACGACCCGTCAGCTGTGAGGTGCCCAGAGTCCCAGGCCGAGGTGTGCTCACGCAGGACCAGTGTTGAGAGGGCCGGGGGTGGAGGAGTGGGGGTGATCCCAGGCTGCAGGCTCCAGCTGGAGCAGACGGGTCTGCCTGAGCCGATCCCAGGATGCTCTGGGGCTGTGCTGTCCAGTAGCCTTTAGCCTCATCTGGCTATTTAAGCTTAATTTTAAATGAATTAAAATGATATAAAATGAAACATTTGGGGTCTCGGTCACACCTGCCACATTTCAAATGCTCACTATGGACAGTGGCCCTTGGCTACTGTACGGGACAGCGCAGATAGAGAGCATGTCCATCATCGCAGACAGTTCTACGGGGCCGTGTTGCCCTGGGGGCCATGGTCCCAGACAGCGCCAGCTTAGCCGAGCTGCAAAGGGGTGGGGGGCACACATCCTCAGAGCTCTGTGCCTCTCCCCGCCGGGCTGCCGCGGCCCTGGCTCTGGCCAGCTCTGGAGAGAGCAGCTGGACCATGGCAGGGGTGCGGGGGTTTTCCACGGGGGTCATTTGGCAGGACATCTTTGTGGCTAAGCATCGTCCCTCCTGCTTCAGAAGACTCCCGGGCCCCAGCACAAATCATCAGCAGCGCCCCCCATTGTGACCACCAGAAATACCCCACAGGCCTCCCAGTGCCCAGGGGGAACGGCTTGGATTCTCCCGATTGTCATAGGATGTCTCAGTCCCCAGCCCCCACCCCCATCCTGCTGTGCAGATGGGGAAACTGAGCCCCCGGCGTCCCTGGGTGCTCCCACCTTCTCTGCTCCACTGCGGCTCAAAACATTCTTCTCATTATCTCCAAGCGCCCTAGTTAGTCCCCTCCGGCCCTTCTAAAATGCACTGGAAACCGCCAGCAGTCTCCCAGGGACACGCACTGATCTGTTTTCTGCTGTCTCTCTAGCTTCCCTCCCACACGCCCGCCCACCCTCGTGTGCATGCTCCACACTCCCCTGAGGTTTCAGGAGCTTCTTGGACGGAAGGCAGCCCGCTGAGCCCCGTGAATGCCAGGCCATAAACTTCTGTTTTTGTGGAAGATTCCTAACAGGGACTTGGGGAGCCTTCAGTGGAAGATTCTAGACTAGCACCAGGAGGCCCTCACGCCGTGCTTCTGAGCTTCAGAGGGGCTGGATCATGGGCCCCCTCGAGAACCCGATTTAAGTGGGGTCTAGAAGCTGCCCTCAAACACAGTTGCTCGTAAACAGAGGAGGTCTGGACCCAGGATGGACCTAGAACCATCACAACTGCCCCCAAGTTGGCCCCACTGTCCCCCAGTCCCTCTGCTCCCGGGTCGCACTTCCCCCAAGCCCCATTCCTTCGTCCGGTCTGAAATACTCATCCAGTGCCAGCCATGGACCAGGCCCTATTGCAGGCCCTGGGGACAGAACTGTGAGCAAAATGTGCCACCTCATGGGGCTACATTCCAGTGAGGGAGACAGACAGACAGCAGACAAGGAGGAGAACACGCAATATGGAGAGGGCTAAGTAAATCAGAAGGGGGGCATGGGGTGTGCGGAGTGGCTGTCAGGGACAGCCTGGCTGAGGAAGTGACATTAGTTAAAATCCTGAAGGAGATGAGGAACTGAGTCCCATGGGTATCTGGGGGAGGACCTTCTGGCAGAGAGACCAGCTGTGCAAAGGCCCTGAGGTAGGGGTGAGCCTGATGTGTTCCAGGAATGGTGAGGAGGTGGGCGTGGCTGAGCAGAGTGGGGGTGGGGGCAGCGGGAGGAGACGTGGGAGGTGAGAGAGTTTGCGATGGGGAGGCAGAGGCCAACGGAGGCAGTGCAGTAACCAGGGGCAAGTGTGGTGACGTGGACCAGAGAAGCAGCAATGGGGGTGCAGAGACCGGGTCAGACTCGGGACACACCTGGAAGGGAGAGCCAATGAGACTTGCTGGCAAATTCTAGAACGTGAGAGAGGATGAGGGACATCCTCACACAGCCTTCCACACCAGGACTCATCCTGCAGAACTCAGCCAGTGGGCCAGAGGCCTGACTTTGTGACCCCGACGTCCAGCGGTGGGCGCATTCCGTCTTCCCACCCCTTGTCCTGCACCCAAGTGCTTGCCTCTGTGTGGGGCCTTCGCCTTCTGTCCCTCTCCCCAGGCGGAAATCAAAGCTTTGCCCTGGGCCCCTTCCTCATCTGAAAGGCACCTGCTCTTCTGGAGGCGGGAGGAGGAGGAGGAAGGGAGAGGAGGGAAGGAGACGGGGGGGGGGTGGGGGGGTCAGGGGGATGGGAGGATGCGGTTCAATACTGCCGGCGGTGGCAGTTGCTAGGAGATGCCTGGAGCGCTCACCGCAGGAGGAGCCAGTCCCTGCTGAGCCCAGGCCCGTGGGGACAGCCAGAGGGGCCATCACCCGTCTCATGGCGTGGCCTGCGGAGCCCGAGGTGGGCGTGGGGTCCTGAGTTAGCCCAGCATTTGGAGGGTAGCATATTCACATGCCGGGCCTCGGGCTTTAAGCCATTGATCTGGGGAGGCCGAAGGATAAAGCCGAGAGGGGATCCTGCTCATGTTCTGAGGCCTCCCAGCACGGCCGCGAGCCCCCAGGAACGGCTGTCAGGCCAGCAGCCGGGCTGTGCAGGGAGGAAATGAGGCAGGCGGCCTGGCAGCCTCCCTTCCCCAGGGGCTGGAAGATGCAGGCTGCTGCGTGTCTGGACATGACAGTGCCCCGGTGAATGCACCGGGCTCACAGAGGCCGTGCTCTGCTAAGCCCTTCACGGCCACCAGCGTCTGCTCCTCCCCGCGGCCCACAGGAGGCCCCACGCTCCCGGCTCATGCAGCTGGGTGAGGACCCTTGGAGGAGCGAGGGCCTTGCCAGGGTCCCAGGGCTCCCGCCTGGTGGGCCCTCTCCATACTCACTTCTGAGGGACCCGGAGCCAGAGGGCTCAGCTGCTCACCTCTCCAATAGAGACACGGGCAGGACCCCGCTGGCTGTCCTCTGGCAAGGCCTCTGGCCTCGCCCCATGGGGTAAAGATGAGATGAGCACTCGGGCCCCACCCAGGCTGGAAGGCACCTCCGTGGGAGCGCAGAGGGTCTTCGGCAGGCAGGAGCTCCAGTGGAGGCATCCCCAAGCTGAGGCAGAGTGAGGGTGCATGAGGGCTGTGCCCCCGAACCCCTTTTGCAGATGGGGTAGCTGAAGCCCAGGAGACACTGCCCAGGTCATGTGACAGGTCAGGGCCACCCCAGGACCTTAGCACGTGATGGGTGGGTTGTCCACAATCACTTAAGTCTGCCCCTAGCACCTCTGCTTTGATAAATGCTATCATTGCCACTTCCATCAACTATGTTGGAGGGAGGTGGGCCTTGTGTCGGCTCCACGCAGGGGAGGCGTCTGGGAGGTGAGGGAGCTGGGAGGCACCTGGGCATTCCACTGTCAGGCCCTTGGTCCTCCCTGGGAGATGGGCACCTCATCCCTGCCAGCTGGTTCCTCCCCGCTTACCACACGGAGAGGAGACCCTCTGTCTGCCAGAGTGCTGGCCGCTCTGATGCAAACGCCCTTGCTGGGTGCAGGGATCTGGGACCCGTGCGGCCTCTACCGGCCCAGGTGCAGGCAGCCTCGGCCGCCTGCTCAGGCTGATGGACAGGAGCTAGCAGGAGAGTTGGGTAAGAAGGGTCCTGCCATCTGCCCTCGGCAGGGGCACCACCGCGCCCTTCCAGGGGCCTCTGAGCTCTAGGGACTGCTAAGGCTGGGACGTCCAGCCAAGCGCTGCCCAGAATTCCTGACAGGCCATATTCAGAGCCACCGTGAGGGCCCTGGTGCTCATTTTGTCCAAGAAAACCTTCAAAAGTGGATGCAGCAACAGGTATCTCTAGATTAGGGTAGGGTACGACTGCCCAGGGTCACTGGCATGGGACGTGTTCCCAGGGGAGGGTGATGTCATCCCTAAGTGGCCCAAGCCACATTCTCGGGGCCAGGGCTCTGCTTGGACCTTACTGCAGCCAGCAGGATCAAGCAGGTCAGCTCGGGAGGCGGCTCCCAACGGCCTCTCTCACGTCGTGACCCGGTGCCCTCTCCAGACGCACGAACGGGAAGGACGCATGTGACAGTTTCTGTTTCTGAGCTCAGCCCCAGAGGAAGGAGTCAGACTGGGACCCGGGTCCAACCTCCCCTCATCCTTAGCCCCCCGACAAGGACAGGCTGTGGAATCAACACATCCAGGGGCCCCATCCAGGGATCTGTGGCCAAACCACAGAGCCGGGGGAAGCGAGCCAGGCCATCGGGGAAGACGCTCCCCTCCTCTCTCCTCGTCAGGCCCCCCAGGGCCCCCTGGGCTTCCCTTAGGCCTCTTCTGCAGGAGCCAGTCCCCCCCAGCAGGGGGGCCGCAGGTGTTCCTTGGGCACGAGGCGTGTGAAAGCCAGAGGCCCCACTCCCCAGCCTGTGGTCTGGCCAGGGGGCCAAACAGCTCTCCATAGGTCATCTGAAACCTGAACATCCTCCCACGGCTTCAACTTTATTAGCCTGACCTGTTCCAGCTCCGTCCACAGCCGGGCCGCAGGGTGTGAGCCTCTGGAAGCAGCCAGGGCCCCCCAAGGATTGCCTGCACTCCAATCACCCCACTGCTTCTTGCGAGCGTCTGCGGGAACCCTGTGCCCCCAGCGCCTACCACCTTCTGCTCCCCAGAGGGCGGGCCTGTCTGGGCACGACCACGAGGTGCAGTTTTGGGGGGGCTGCCTGGCCCCCCTGGGCTGCGCAGTGGGCAAAGAAATCCTGCTGGCGTGAGCTGGGGTGGGGGGCGAAGCGAAGAGGGAGGGACCGGGGCACGTGGGCAGGGTGGACAGACACCCAAGCCGGGCAGGGAGGCAGGGTCACCTGGGGCCGTTAGAGAGTTCTGAAGAGCCAGCGAAGGGAAGGGCGCAGGGGAGTCACCCCCTTTCAAGGCCCTGTACACGGTCCCTCCCCTGGGGGCCGGAAGAGGAGGGAGACAAGGGCAGGAGCTGTGTGCCAAGCAAATGGCGAGGTCAAAGGCCACCCAGGCAGGAGGATTCCATCAGGTTCTTAATCGCCTCACGCCCTTCTTCTCCAGACCTAGTGAGCGAGGGGCTCTAGGGGAAACTGAGGCAGGAGATAGGGCATCTGCATGGGTGAGGGAGGGCACCCCGCTCTGCTCCCCATCTCAGAAGGCTTTCCCGTGAAGAACCGAGAGGTGGGGCAGACAGCACTAATCGGGACTGGATTACAGCACTCTCCAGCAGGGTCCTGGCAGCCCACCAGCCAGGCGGCTGGGAACACTGGGTGAAGCTCTTGCCTCCCGGCTTTTACTCTGGGCCAACCAAGTGTTTACCAAGCACCTTCTCAGGGCCGCAAGCCGGGGTCCCTGAGCCCAGGACATTACAGGTTTGTGTTTTGGGGTTGGGGGTGGACTAGAGACCACCCTTTGGTCAGTCAGTGCCGGGCCACTGGGTCCTCTTTCCACTCTCCCTGTCCGCATCCGTTTGGGGGCTGGGAGGCCTGGCCTGAGGGCAGGGAGGACCCAAGGTCGGGGCCCAGGTCCTGGGGCCCAGGGCGGAGCAGCCCCGCGGGAATCCAGGGCGTGGGGCGGCTCCTGAGCAGCTGAGGCCCCACCCTGCAGGCCCCGTCAGTAGATTCCCTTCACCCTCTTGTTGTCAGGGTCGAAGGGAGACTTCAGGTGAGCGCGGGCAGGGTAGGTCACCCCCATCCTCTCCAGGGCATAGTCCCCGCTCTTCACGAAGTCCAGCGAGACCTGGGAGCAGAAGAGGAAGGGGACACGGCTCGCTCATTATCGGTGGGTGCTGGGCCCACACCTACCTGCTTCTCAGAAGCGGGGTCTTGGCCTCGCTTCCTCCCCTGTGGGCAAACCCGTCACGTGCCGAGGGCCTTCTCTGAACCGAGGAGCTGCCCAAGCAGGCAGATGCCGTGACCCCTGTGCCCCTGAGTCGGACTTGAGCACTGGGGTCCAGCAGAGCCAAGGTCTGGCAGCCAGTGAGACCTCTCCCACAGGATGGCACGCCTCCCGCCCCAGTAACTCCAGGTCCCTGGGAAACAGCAGGAACAGAAACACGGCCTGACCCTGGGTATGCACAGCAGCTGCAAGCAGAGTAGAGCCGGGTGGCCCCGCTGGGGCACCCTGTTCTCCCCGTACAGGGATTATGCCCAGGGCTGGCCCACGAGGAAGGTGTCTCAGGGCTCGGCTCTGGGAGTCAGAGGACCCCTCTCTCCTGGCAACTCAGGACTGGATGAAAAAAATGAAAAATAAGGCTTCTGTGTGACTGCAGCATTGGGAGTGATCAGCTTCTAGACCAGGCTTCTGAGCCATGGTGGCACCATGGGGCTTAAAGCTCTGAGCCGCCCCCACCAGCCCACGGGCAGGTGGCACAGGCTGCTGGTGCCTTCAGAGGTCTGAAGGAGTGGATAACTCAGAGCCAACTCGTGGTCCTTGCTAAGAAACCCCCAGGAGACCCCAAATTCTGCTCCTACCTCCACAGCCTTTCCTTTCAAGGGGCAGGTTCTTAATCTTATAAAGGAATCTGGGCTATCCCACTGGCGTGCTGGTAAATGTTTAACAGCCAGCTCTCCGGGGGGCTGGGATGGGGCAGTCCTGATGTGTAGCGCCTGCCCCTTCCCGTGGTGTAAATACTCTGGACATCCCTGACGGAGGAGCTGGGAAGAGGTGGACATAGTCACAAGCGAGCCTGAGCCGGCCCCACCCTCCACCCTCCACTGGTCATCCCTGAGTATCCCGGGCTACCTGTCGGGCAGTGGTAAGCTCTCCTTCCTCGGTGACCTTAGTTACAAACCCGTCCCCGATGGAGGAGAGTACCATTCTCCGAAAGAAGAGGTCGCTGGGCCTGCACCACCCTCACCCAGCGCAGGTGAACACGGGGCTTCAGCCAGGACCCAGGGCTCCGTGTCTGGGGGTGTCACAGAAGGTCCTTTGTCACTGCCCAATGTCACCACCAGCGTGGCAGCCTCATCATCACAATTGCTGCATATTAGGTCCCCACTCTGAGGGGTGATTTGTATGACGGCCATGTGAGGCAGGTGGAAGTCTGTCCCTGCACAAGGGCAGGGTCATGGAGCCAGTCAAGAGCAGAGCCCTGAGGCTGTTGGTGCCAAGCCTGTGTCCTGAGCCTCCCAGTCCACCGCAGGGTGCAGACCCCCACTCCCCAGGACTTGCTGTAGGCCGAGGGTGGCAGCCACTGCGCTCTTTCCCCCTGGGGCCTACACACCAGGTCCAGCATGTCCCCTGCACCCCTGCCTGGGCTGGTCTGACGCACTCCCTCCCGCCTCCTCCTGGCTGCTCCTCCCAAGTACTCTTCCAGTGGAGACTCAGTGTGGGGAGATGGGGAGAGGCAGCCCAGGGTCCTCCAAGACTGTCAGCCGGAAAGCTCTGGAGCCAGGCCCAGCTGAAGGGGCATCCCAGCCCCCACGGTCAGAGCCTCTTGGGGCCTCAGCCTCTCAGCTGACTCCAGGCTGGTGCAGGACTCCAGGGAAATAAGCAGGCGAAGCCACAAAGGTGCTGGGAGCGACCATGAGCCCCTCTTCTTCATTCACCTCTCACCACCCATCCACACCACACGCCACCCTCTGTGACCAGCCCATCACTGCACAAGCGTGGAGACCCCTCACTGTGTTGAGAGCCCCTGCAGCCCCTTTCTCTGCGCCCCCTCCCCCGCCAATATGGAGGAAGGCATTTGTGGTCGGTGGGAGATGATTTGAGTTTATAAATGGTTGTTTGGGTAAAATGTTTAGATTTTCTCCACTCAGAACACGCTGTCCCTTCTGTCTCATTCCCAAGCTCCCGAAATGTGCCTGTGTGTGTGCATGTGTGTCTGCGTGCCTGTATGCATGTGTGTGCATGCACGTGTGTGCTAGACATGCGTACTCTCACGTGTGCACACAACCGTGTGCATGCACATGGGCGCCGCCTGGGGCGTGTCTGGGGTGAGGAAGGAGAGGAGGCAGGGAGAGGAGGAATGTGGGTCTTGGGAGGATTCGAGTCCGGCCTCTGCCCACCCTGGAGTCCAGCCCCGGGCACAGGATGGGCAGCAGCTGGAGGTTTGGTCTTTGGCTCCAGGGAGCAGAGGGTGTCAGCCCCGGCCCAGAGCCTGTTTCTGATCAATAGAAGCCCGGAGCTTCCAAAGTCAGATCCTTTCAGAAGGAAAACATAGAAACAGCTGCCGACTCTGCCCGGAGACACGGCCCATTTGTCAGTCGCCTCATTGTGTTCCTGTCCCCACGCCCAGCACACTCGGGGGGCGGTGACGGGTACTGGTGCAGAGCCTGGAGAGGAACTGGGGCTCCCCCGGGCAGTGCTGGGGAACGGACTCACCGGCCCGCCGCTGGGGTCCCGGATGTAGCCGTAGGCGAGGGTCTTATCGATGGTGAACCCGAAGTCGGCCCTCCGGACGTGGCCCACCACTTGGCCATTTCTCCAGATGGCCTCCAGGCCGAACATGGGCACTTTTCTGTAAGAAGCAATAGAGACAGCTGGGACCCCAGAGTCCCCAGAGGGGGACACCTGCGCTCTGGCCTGGCGGAGAGAAAGGGAAGCTGGAGCGTGCCCACCAGACCCCAGGCTCCATCCCTGAGCCCTCGCTGACTCCCAGAGCCCGGCCCGCCCGGGGACGCCGGGGCACAGGTCTGAGCAAATAAATGAAAGTACAGAGAACACCCCACCCAGGATCTGACGTCTATGTCTGTACAGACAGGCCCGTATGTATGTTTGGAAAAGGCCTGTCTTCAGATTTCTTTTCCACTTGACTTCTGAACGGTTTACAACATTACACCATGCGGCTTGTTCTGCTCTGTTGATTCTTCTTTTTTTACAGTATATGTGTAATTTATTAAAAGCACTTTTCTTTGTTACACGTTAGGTACAAATGCTCACTGTAAGACTGAATTTTTGAAAATTCAAAACAGAAAACAAAGAAAAGATTGAACTTCAATCACAGAGGTGCCAGCACCAGAGGTGACTGGTAATGTTTTTTTTTTTTTGTGAGGAAGATCAGACCTGAGCTAACATCCATGCTAATCCTCCTCTTTTTGCTGAGGAAGACCAGCTCTGAGCTAACATCTATTGCCAATCCTCCTCCTTTTTTTTCCCCAAAGCCCCAGTAGAGAGTTGTACGTCATAGTTGCACATCCTTCTAGTTGCTGTATGTGGGACGCGGCCTCAGCATGGCCGGAGAAGCGGTGCGTCAGTGCACGCCCAGGATCCGAACCCGGGCCGCCAGTAGCGGAGCGCGCGCACTTAACCACTAAGCCACAGGGCCGGCCACACTGGGAATGTTTTGGTGCAAATCTTTGCAAACCTGTCTCTCTTGACACTTCATTGGTGGTGTTTATCAAGGGCCTGTTGGGCACAAAGTACTGTGCTGGGTGCTGGGGACGCTGCACAAAACAGGGCAGCAAGCGCCTCCCTGGCCTCAGGGCCCCTGAGGGGTGGGTGACAGGGCTGTGCTGGGGGCAGCCGGGCGTGGTGGGGGCTGGTCTGGTAACTGGAATCGTGTGAATCCTACAGTGTGAAAGAGCCTGGACGGCGTGTGGGGTTCCGTGGCCTGGAGTGAAATGGTCTGGGCCCCACCTGTCCCGTGGATGCGGGAGGGATGGAGGGAGGTTTTGTAAACATGTCCTGTGTCCTCTGGTCTTACCCTAGTCCTACAGAGGCAGTGCCATCTCCATGTGACAAAACACGCTCAGGGAGGCCGCCCGCCTCCCCCAGGGCCCCAGAGCAAATCAGCAGCAGTTCTCTGTGACAACACAGCCGGCACCCTGGCCGTGTCTCTCAGGACTGGGACGCCCAGGCTGCGACACTGGTGGGCTTTGCAGAGATCACCTGAGCAGGGTGGGCTGGGCTGGGCCTGGCGCCGTCCGAGGCTGCTCTTAGAGCCAGACCACAGGCGCTTCCTGGAGGCCAGGCGGCAGAGGGGCTGCGGACACCCACTCTGTCTGCCAGGGGCCCTGTCAGCCCTCCCAGCCCCTGCGCCCGAAACTAGAGCTGAGCCGCTCCCGGGAGATGGCCCAGCAGTCATGTGGAGAGGCAGCCTGACAGGAGCCCAGACAGAGGCCGCAGGATGACGGCAAGCCCCAGCTCTGCTCACTCTCCCCTCCCATCCCGTCACTCTTGACGCTTCGTCTGATGGCTCCAGAAATCTGGGAGAAGTGGCACCATTTGTGGCTGACTGTCAGCTCCGAATCAACAAAGCCCAGAGCCGCCGGCAGCCCTGGAGACCGTTGCTACTCGGGTTCCTGTGGAAGCCACGGCCGCGCTCATGCCTGCAGCGTCATCTGACAGTGACTCGGCCCAGCGGAATCCAGGTGCCTGGAATCCAGGGACAAGGCGGGCCTGGCTCCAGGGACATGACAGCGACGTGCTCAAAGCCGCCCCTTGGAGGAACAGAAGGAGTCGGATCCCCGACAGGGCTCTCCTTCCACCTCGGCCATGTGACTGGGCATGAGGCCCCCATCCCTGGGCACCCGTGGTCTCCATTTCTAAGTGGGGATGATGGCCCCAGCCTGGCCCTTCCCCAGACCATATCCCAGCCCAGCGGTGGGGGGATGTATCCGGAACACACGGGAAGGTCGCAGTGACTGGAAACCAGCTCATAGGAAGGGCTCCCCCACCTAAGGCCCTTGGCCTGGATCCACCCACAGAGAAGGGGCTTGGTTGGGCTGTGCTTCTCTTTGAAAATCTGCGTTTGAGGATGGTGTGCCCTCTCCACGTCCCCACGGGCCCTGCTGACCTGGGTTTGCCCCCCGCCCGGCCCTGGAGGGGTTTAAGTCTGCAGCCTCAGCTTCGGGCTCAGGCCTGGCCTGGAGCCCAGCTCCGCCTCTCCCGGGCCTCGGTCTCCACATCTGTAACGGGGCTGTGGCGTGAGTTCTGGGACAGGGGCCTGGCCATGGGAAGAGTCAGTGCCCAGCGGCTGACGAGAGGAACCAGGAGGCGCTGCCTGCTTCAGCTGCGGACAGTCACCTCCAATGGGCCCAGGAGCATGGGACACTCACTCGTCCACGGTGAAGCAGACCAGGCGCCGGCGGAGGCCCTCGGCCCGCTGCTTCTCCAGGGCCTCACGGCCCAGGAAGGGGACGGCGGACTTGAGCTTGCAGGTGAAGGCCAAGCCCGCCTCCAGGGGGCTGTCATCCGGCCGCAGGTCAGAGTGCCAGTGCCGGTAGCCTGGGGAGGGGAGACCACAGAGTCAGTGCCCAGCAGCGGGGGACTACCCCACCCTCAGAGTTGCTTCTTGCCTGGGCCAGTTGCGGGGAGGGGCATCCTCGACTGCAGGGCATCTTCCTCTGGGTGAGCCCCCGAGCCCAACCATCCCATCTGCATTCCCTCCTCTGCACCATCAGGCGGGGGTGTTGGGGAGGGGGCTTGTGAAGGGGCCAGGCAGCACGATAGGCCCCTTCCACTCTGATGTTCTTCAACTTTTCAGGGAAACTTAGGCACTGGTCTAAATTCCGCTCTAGCCCCAGCTCCACAATGCTGGGCAAGCCCCCACCTCTCCCTCCGAGTGTCAGATGCCAGCACCATCCCTGGCCTGCGTGGGCAGTGAGGGGTCTGGGGACCGGACAATGTGGGGGAAGCAGAAGTGTACTGGGACAGGAGAAGCACAGGTGATGGACATGGGGGCCACAGCTTCTCTGCCCACCAGCGCCCTCCAGACCCTGCACACACCTTTCTCGATGCTCAGAGAGTCGATGGCCCGGTACCCCGCGTTGACAAGGCCATGCTTGGTCCCCGCTGCCATCACGGCCTGGTACACGGGCATGCAGGACGGCCCTGGGATGTGCAGCTCCCAGCCCAGCTCCCCCACGAAGGACAGCCTCATGGCCCGGACCTGGGGGGACAGGGCACAGCTCAGACACCAGCTGAGCCTAGACGACTGAGGTCAAGGCCCAATGGCCCCCTATTGGTGGACAGTTCCTACCGTCATCATTATTATCAGCTGGCCCTGGGCCCGGGCCGGCTGGCCACCAAGAAATGGGGTCTCCCAAGGCAAGTCCTCAGGAACACTCTGGAAATCTTTAAAAGGAAGGGGTGTCAAAGTTGGGAGAGAGAGAAGGTAGACACGCGGTTCCCAGGCCTCAGCTCTTCTTTTCAGTGACTATAGGAGTGTCCTGGGGCCGCCATCACAAAGTACCACAAACCAGGTGCATTAAAACAGCAGAAGTGAATTCTCTCCCAGTTCTGGAGGCCCGAAGTCCAGAATCAAGGTGTCAGGCAGCCGCTTCCTCTGAGGGCTCTGGGGAGGAGCCTTCCTGCCTCTTCCGGCTTTTGGGGGCCCCAGGCAGTCCTGGGCTGGTGGCCACACCACTCCAGTCTCTGCTCCGTCACACGGCCTCTGCGGCTGCCTTCCCTTCTCTCCTTTCTTATCAGGACACTTGGCCTCGGATGTAGAGCCCACCCTAATCCAGGACGATCTCATCTCAAGACCCTACCTTAATTTCATCTGCAAAGACTCTGTTTCCAAGGTCCCACTCACAGGTTCTGGGGTTAGGACACAGATGTCTCTTTGGGGGTCCACCATTCAGTCACTGCAGTGAACTTGGGCAAGCCTCTTAGCCTCCCGCTGACCTTGCTTCCTCATCTGCAAATGGGGTGAGGAGCCGGGCCTTGTCAGTTTTAAGACGCTCTGGGTGAGTCAGTGGGGAGTTGATGGGAAGCCAGCAGCACAACTCACAGTCGCCACGGCTGCACCTGGCGGAGTCGGGGCGTCGAGAGGGGAAGCAGCTGGGCCCTGAGTGAGCGTTCCGATCGCTCCCCACCTGCTCAGCCTCGGCCAGGTGCTGGGATCTGAAGACAGACAGCCTCTGCCCACCCAGGACTCGAGTCTTAGAAGGACTCAGCATAAGCCAGTCCTGCGGCAACCACACTCCGGGTGGGCACAGTGCCTGGAAGGAAGGACCCTGCCTGGGAGGGACGGACCGGCTGGCAGGTTGAGAGGAGTCTGCCATGGCGAATGGAGGAGCAGGAGCAAAGGTGCAGGGACAGAGCCCGCGTGCCGGGGGGACGGGAGAGAAAGGCCTTATGCCCCGGCTGCGGGCAGCTGATTATGAAAGCCACTTGCGTGAGAGCTGGGTCCCAGAGTCCAGGAAAGGGACTGTGGGCCCCCAAACCCCATGGAAATGACAGTGCTGTTTACGGAGTGTCCATGGGCTTAGCTCTTCACGTACATTACGTCCTCGAACCCCTTCATGGCCCCACGCGGTGGTGGGACCAGGCGAGGATGCAGAAATGAGCTGCAGAGGCGCCCTGCCTGGCTGGAGCACACGCAGCTCTGACGGGTTCAGCGGGTCCCTGGGTGCGCTGCACCTCTGTGTACCAGGCCAGCAGCTGCATGGAGGCCACCACAGGCACGGAGTGCCGCCCGGCCTGGTAGAATGCGCCTCTTCCTGCAGAGGCTTGGTTGCATGTGATTTACACACCCAGCAACTGGCGCCTGCTCCCTGGCCTCCAGGCAAACCCTTGAAACCATAGCGTCGCCATGCGCAAAGCCTGAGTGCTTGGCCCTGGGACTGTCCAGATCACAAAAGGGACATCAACAGCGCGTCAAGTCACAGAGCTCAGGGATTAAGGAGCCCGTCCCATTACTGCTCTGAGCTCAAAGGTCTGCCCGGTGCAGCTCTCACAGGGATAATGTCTGAGCAGAAAGAGCAGGAGGGTGTTCTCCCCACCACGGAACCAGCTCCTTATAACTCTGACATTCTAATCGCCCCGCGCCGAGGGGCTGGATTCCAAAAGCTTTTGAAACGATGCAAATTTGCTCTGAGTTGCCGTTTGCTCGGGCCTCTCAAAAAACTCAAAATTGACACAGAAAATGTACTGCTGACATTTCCCTGTTTCCCTGGTGCAAGCTGTAGGCCCCTGACAAAGACTGCCTTGTCAACAGGGTTCTAATTTTAGACAGCCTATGGAGGAGCTTGGGGCTCAAAGCCAAGCTCATTCTGAACCAGGAAAAATCATTTTTAAAGCTCATCCATTAATAGTCCAGGATTGAGGGTCCGAGTCAGACACACATGCCCCCAGCTGAGTGCAAGGGTTGACCGCAGGCTCCACTTGAATTCCAGGGTGGAATGGAGCTATCCCAGCCCCGTCCCCAGGTCCCAGGAGCCCAGCAAGGCCGGGGGCTGGCTGAGTCGGGCCCTCACTGTACCGCTGTGCACAGGCCCGGCCCACAGCAGGGCTGAATCAACACATCCAGGACGAAGGAGAGAAACAGGGGCGGACGGGCCTCTGGTTTCTAGCAAAACGAGGGCAAGAGTTTGGGGAATTCCAGGTGTCTTTCTAAGTTTACAGAACCACTAGTTCTCTAGACATCTTGCATTTTTCTGCACTGAGGCAGTGGAGTTGGGAGAGCCCTCATTCCTTCTGAGCGGGGACACGTAATGTAGGAGAAGAACTAAGAGTGGGGAGGACTGGGACATGGGCTCTGGGTCAGCCAGACTCGGGTGGGGTGGGCAGCACCAGCACTTCCCAGCAACTCCCTGCCTCTCCCACCCTCAGTGCTTCCACCTGATAAATGGGCTGAGCCAGTGCTTGTGAGCACCAAGTTCGTGAAAAGCACAGTGCCTGGTATCCAGTCACCTGCCGGTCAGTGTTGGCTGGGATGGACTTTAAGTGCAGGCCCCAAACTGAGGCAAACCCCCCACAAAGCAGAGCTCTGCACTCCTGCGGGAAGCACTGGCTGTGGACAGAGTCACAGAATCGTGGAAGGTCGTCAGAAAGGGCCTTAGCCAGGTTTGGCTTCAACCTTTCCCTCCCCCTAAAGACTCCCTAAAATACTGTTGGAACTAATAAACAAATTCAGCAACACTGCAGGACGCAAAATCAACACACAAAAATCACTGCATTTCTATAGCCAAACAACAAACAATCTAAAAAGGAAATCTTTAAAAAAATTCTGTGTACAATGGCATCAAAAAGAAGGAAATACTTAAGGATAAACCCAGCCACGGAGGTGAAAGACTTATACATTGAAGACTATAAAACATTGCAGAAAGAAACGAAAGAAGGTACAAATAAGTGGGAAAACATCCCGTGTTTATGGATTGGAAGACTTAAAATCCTTAAGACCCCAATACTACCCAAAGTGACCTACAGATTCAATGCAAGCCCCATCAAAATCCCGATCACATTTTTTGCAGAAATAGAAAAACCCACCCTCATGTACGTATGGAATCTCAAGAGACCCCGAATAGCCAAAACAATCTTGAAAAAGAAGAACAAGGCCAGAAGACTCACACTTCCTGATTTCAAAACTTACTACAAAGCTACAATAATCAAAACAGTGTGGCAGTGGCATAAAGTCAGACAAATAAACCAATGGAATAGAAAAGAGAGCCCAGAAATAAACCCTCATGTGTGTGGTCAAGTGACCTTCAACTAGGCCGCCAAGACCATTCAACGGGGAAAGGACAGTCTCTTCAACAAATAACAACAAATTGGACAAACTGAATGTCCACAGGCAAAGAATGAAGTTGGACCCTTATCTTACACCATATACAAACGTTAACTCAAAGTGGAATAGAGACCTAAGTGTAAGACCTAAAACTGTAAAACTCCTGGAAGAAAACATAGAGGAAAAGCTTCATGACATTGGACTTGGCAATGATTTCTCGGATATGACAGCAAAGGCACAGGCAACAAAAATGAAAGATGGTCAAATGGGACTAGAGCCAACACAGAAACTTCTGGGCCTTGAAGGACACAATCAGCAGTAAAAAGGTGACCTACAGAATGGGAGAAGATATTTACAAAGTGTATATCTGATAAGCAGTTAATATCCACATATATAAAGAACTCCTACAACTCAACAACAACAAAACAAATAACCTGATTAAGAAATCAATAAAGAACTTGAATACACATTTCTCCAAAGACGAGATACAAATGGCTAACAAACGTGAAAAGGTGGGCAATACCACTAATCATTAGAGAAATGCAAATCAAAACCACAATGAGATATGACTTCACACACACATTGGGATGGCTACTATGAAAAACAAAGCTCCTAAATGACTAGTAAATTTATATTGTTTTTCAGTGGGAAAAAAAGAAAAAAAAAAACAAGGAAACCTCAGATGTCACCATCTTATCCATAATATACTGATACGAATTAAAAAAAAAAAAAAGCAAAACAGAAAATAGCCGGTGTTGGTGAGGAGGTGGAGAAATTGGAACCCTCGGGCACAGCTGGTGGAAATGTAAAATGGTGCAACTGTTAAGGAAAACAGTATGATGGTTCCTCGAAAAATTAAAAATAGAATTACCATATGACCAGCAGTCCCACTTTTGGGAATATATCCAAAAGAATTAAAGATCTCAGATAGATATTTGCACAGCCATCTTCACAGCAGCACTATTCACAATAGACAAGAGGTGGAAGCAACCCGAGTGTCCATCGACAGATGAACAGATAAACAAAATGTGGTCTATCTATACAATGAAATATTATTCGGCCTTAAAAAGGAAGGAAATTCTGTCACATGCTACAACAGGGAGGAACCTTGAGGACAATACGCTTAGCAAAACAAGCCAGTCCCAAAAAGACAAATCCCAGATGATTCCACTTCCATATGTAAAGTAGTCAAATCCATAGAAACAGAAAGTAGACGGGGTTGCCAGGAGCTGGGGGAGGAGGGGGGATGGGAGGTATTTAATGAATATTGAGTTTCAATTTTGCAAGATGAAAATTTTCTGGAGATCTGTTGCACCACAATGTGAATGTAGTTAACACTACTGAACTATATGCTTAAAAATGGTTAAGATGGGGGGCCGGCCCCGTGGCTTAGCGGTTAAGTGCGCACACTCTGCTATTGGCGGCCCGGGTTCGGATCC